GATTCGATCCATCGTCTCTTTACAATCACCACCGTGATGCATAGGGTGATGTGGACTTCTGATTACTCCCATTTTTAACATATCTTCAATATCTTGCTAAGGTTCTCCCTTATTGCATATGGTAGTGAGTATGGCTTAGATCGTATTGGTGTATCATTTGTCAGGTCAATCTTATGACTGATTATCTTGGTCTTTCCTGGCAAGTCAGTAAACACCTTATCATAAGTATTGACTAAACCCACCAGTTCTTTTCTTTTGTGTTCTGTCAGGTCTGTACCAATTTGAACATCTTTACCTGACTCCTTTGGTTTACAAGTTCCTAACTCTAGAAGATCATCTTCGTCTACAGCATTCTCTTCATCTGACTTGTTGCACCCCGCTGTAGCTGCGCGCACAGCATTCATCAGGTCTATGGCCGTATTTGTTGAGTAACTTGTCTCACTTCCATCTGGTTGAGGTGACGTTTCTCGCTCAACATACAACTTCAACATATTTACATGATACGTCTTCACTTTGTCACCTACCCTCACTCGATAATCGTTTTCGCCTATTACCTGCTCTACCACATAAGAACCCTTCCACTGCATCAACAGCTTGTTGTTTTCAGCAAAATTAACACCTTATCTCCTTCCTTAAGCACTCGCTTCTTCGTTTTATGATCATAGTAACACTTGTATCGGTTCTGTGCCTTCTGTAATTCCACTCGAGCAATCTCTAAAGTCTGTTCTAACCGATCTCTCAACTCAAACACATACTGGTAACTATTAACTATCTCAGGAGTATCGCTCTCTTGGGTCCATAACTCTTTAAGGATCTTCATTGGGCCTCTAACCGTTCAGCCATATAACAGCTCAAATGGGGAAAAACCAGTTGACTCCTGTGGTACCTCTCTATATGCGAAGAGTAAAGCACTTTGCCATTGCCTTGGTTTTTCATGGCACAACCGCTTTAACATCTTCTTCAAAGTACCATTAAACTTTTCCACCAGTCCATTACAAATGGGGTGATAGGGCGTAGACATCGGTCTCTTAATGTTGAGCAATCTCGATACTTCTTGCATGCATTCTGACACAAACTGAGTCCCCATGTCACTTAGTACTTCTTCTGGAACCCCCAATCGGCTATAAAAGTCAATCAATGCCTCGGCTACAGTCTCCGTATCTATATTTTTAAGTGGAACCGCCTCTGGATACCGTGTAGCATAGTCCACCATAGTTAATTAATAAATTAAAGTTCATCACATAAGAACCATGTTATAAAACTGGGAAACTTAAAAAACAACACGTGTTTCATTGAAATGATCAGCCTGAATTGTTTTGAGACATGCTCAATCGTAGATTACTTAGATCGAATAATTCAGAGTTATTTTTTATTAATTAACTTCATGTACCGATATAAAAAAAAATATTTACGTTATTAGTTAACAATGTTTAAATATTTTACAAATAAAACATAATATTTAAAATTATTAATAACGTAATATAATGAACAGAAATTAACAATTCTAACATTTTCGAAATTAATGTTACTTATAACATTATAAAATTATGTTATAATAACGTAATTAATTAGAAGTGGTAAAATAGTAATAAAATGAAACGTAATATTATTGTGAATCATTGATGCAATTTAAAAATCGTGGAATAATGTTCATATAACAATAATAGATAAAATAGTATTATAACAAAATTAAATTATGTTATAATCACGTTTTTGTTCAAAACAATAGAAATGATAGTAATAAAAATTATAAAATTGATGTTTTATAACTATTATCATTAAGCGATATTTTAAAATGTTATTTTAACGTTTGAAATAAAAACGGTATAAAAACATTATATAAGAACAATATTCTGAAATAATTTAATGACAATATAAATTTGACATTTAATAATTTAATAGATGCATTCTAAAAAATTACGTTATAATTAAGTAATAAAAAAAACGTTTCCATGTCAAGTTTATTTAAATCGTTTGAATGACATCTCAAAAAAAACATAACATAAATATAATTTTAAACGTCATAATGACATTTTTTTTAAATGTATTTTTACCATGACAAAAAAAGGATGGTATAATTACGTCATAATAACGATTTATTTAATAACGCTATAATTACGTTTTCAATCACCAGCGGCGTATAGTATCTGTAGTATGCAGACAATCTACACCAACTAACTATAACTAAACTAAATAATTAACTATAAAATGTTTTTAAAAAAAACTGAAAATTGGTGGGGGGGTCACATTACTTTTAATCTATGTCCGGGGCACTATCATTTTCATTGTGGATACAGGGGGGTATTGATTTTGTTTCTAGATTTGCAAAAATGTGCCGACCCAGCCCGGCCTTTAAAACTGGTCGGTTCCTAAACATCATTTGCATCTCTTAAACAAAAATGAACGTCTAGACATCGTCTTTTATACAGATGTACAAATTTATAATAATAATAGTCTTTATTGAAATCGTATCTTAAAAATGGACATAGATCTAAGTACAATAAAACATCGTTGTCATTCCATGTTAGAAACATTCAGACTAAAAAAGATACACATATTACAGTTACTTCTATCATGGGAACTATAGTTCCATGCTTCTATGATGTATTTTAAAGAGAAAAACAATCTATACCGATATTATTTGTAACTGACTTTGCCGCCAACAATAATTACACTGAGCAGTCATTCTGAATGTTGGCTATTAAAGTTTGGAACAATTTGTGCCGAGGCTTGACGCAGGCTCATTTATACCCCCTCCCAATCACCAAGATTTAAAGGGGGAAATCACCAATCACCAGGAAATCCAATTACCTATTCACCAATCACCAGGAATTGTTGTTAAATATAAAAGCAATTATTGAAGATATTTGACATTAACTTTGATTGCTAGTCAGACCTAGTAGTTAGACAGACATTTCTTAACTGATCTTTCTGTTTGAAACTATCTCCTCCGTTTCTAAACTGCTGTTCTCATCATTACTGTAGTCGTCCCGTTGTGCAACAGTTTCCCCAGTTGCTTTCTGTTCAGGGGCCAACCTATCTTGCACACAATGCTTCTCTTTGTTCAGCAATTTATGAAATGTCACTTCTTTCGTGTTTTCTACTTCCTTAATTTCTGAACCACTGTTTTCATCACTACTGTATTCCTCTCTCTGCTCGTCAGTTTTCTCAGATGTGTCCTTCTCAACACCTGACCCATCTGAAAAATCATGTCTCTTTCTATGCAATGTTTCACCAATCGGTATCTCCTTCTCGTACAAATTCAGTGGCAATGTACCTGCCTTATACTTTGTGTTGTCTTGTCGGATTGATCTTTGTCTAACAACGTTCCCATTGTCAACGGCCCAATTTCTCATTTTCTCTTGATCTACTTTTCTCATGCGTACAACTGGTAATGGTTGGAGCTTTGGGTGTCTCAAAATGAAACTTGGTTTGTGGCTGGTGGATAAAACGATGAGGGATTGGTGAAGTAATAGACTGACCAATTACATGATCTTTTCAAACTTTCTTTAATTGTGTTCCCAAATGATCTGGCATACTGATACAAAATAAACAACTAAATTAAGTAAAGATGACGAAAAATAGTTTTTCAAATAAAAATAATATCAAAGAAAGCTTAGAAAGAACTCTCGTGTGCTGAGTAATAGAGACAGATTAAAAATTAATTCACAATCACTAGTACTTGAGATATTAATGGAAAAGCTTAAAACTAATTATGCAAATGAGATAATTAATATGAGCAGATTTTCGTGTAAAACCAATAAGGTCTGTGCAATGTAACAGACCATCCATGTAGCAAGTTTCATTTAAATGAGATTAGAACCCAAAACAATATACTATATTATGCTAATCAGGGAATTAATATCAACCGATTTTAACCTAAAACTAATCAGGTTTGTACATTGCATATATAGCCAAATAATGACGTTAACTCGTGATCTAGAAAAGAATAGAAATCAGTAAATATGAGAGGAAGGGGGTTCATGTATGAAAATAATTTGCACATTATAAGAATTGTTCTCAAATGAATAATTCAAAATTAATTCTAATAATATACGTTGCTGTACAACAGGAGAAAAACGCTTTGACATTTTTTCCTTGTCTACTATACATTATTAAAAGTGGCGAACCCTTTAATATTCCATTAGAAAACTATGACGAAATAAGGAATCAATAAACAATAGGACAATTTAGAAGAAAACTATAATTCATCGTGTAATAAAGCGTGTTAGCGTTAAAAGACGTACATGAAACCTCAAGTATTTCCTAGACACACCAGCAAACCACAGGCGCTCGGAACGTTTCTTGGATAATAAAAATAACTTAAAGTAGGGTCGGCATAGTTAGTCAGTCGCCGGTACATTCGCCTACCACTCATATAATAACAAGACGACGCCAGCGAAATTCGAAAGCCAACTGTTTAGTCAAAACCCAAGCATTTAGCCAATTTGCTAGCGAGTTTGCAAATTGGCTGCCCCAATACTTCTGAGACTTACTGTAATCATTATAGAACAGTAGATTTGATTGGTAAAAGATCACCATACACTTCGAAGAATTGACCAATGGGAAGAACTCTCATACTACAATTACACGAGTGTATACAAAAACACTCAGGTGAACCGATTTTAAACTATTGGTGGCGCAATTTAGCGTACAATACAGAGAACGGGAATAAAGTCAAAGAACGCATAACGCGAAATTAAAAGTTGCGAGAACGTATCACCTGGAATTCATTACACCTAATAAAACGTAGAACGAGAAATTAGCTGAGAACGAATCACAATGAATTAAAAATCCCGAGAACGCATCACCAGGAATTAAAAAGCCCTCATATCGGATAACGACAAAAGTATAAAGGGGCCTGTTGACGGCCGTTCTGGACTTTACTGAACGCACAGATTCGTCCCTGGCTTAAGGTAAATTCGAATTGAGCATGCGCGGTGACACGAGATATATTGAACACTGTTGACGAGGTCATGCCAGCTGTTTGAGTGCTACAGTTCAGTTCGTTTCGTCGTAAGTTACCCCATTCGCTTCAAACTGGAATCTCAATTGAACAATGGCAGGAGAAAGCAAAAACCTAGCTGCCCTTCTTCGTAAAAAGGGGGACCTTGAAGTGGTAAGTTTGCAATGAAAATGATAATTGTATGAAAGATAATTACATAAATCCTTGACTTGGTGATTGTATTCCGGGCTTTTAAAATTGTATTTCATTTGTGAAGGCCCTTAATTGTGTCCTAGCTATGGACCCTGCTATACCAGATGAGGTAAAAGCACAGCAAATTGATGCGCACTGCTTGAGGTCAAACGGATTACTACGCGAGTGTGCGATAACAAATGCCGCCCACTGACCAACTCTGGCTTATATGATCTGCTGCGATAACATTGCCCATAAGATTATTGAAAACACATACAATTTCCTATGAGGAATTGAATGGTTGAATATCAAAAAAAAAAATACAAAAACAAAATACAATTTTATGAAGAAACAAAAAATGGAGTAAACACTAAAAATGCATCTACGAAATGTGTTGCTGTCTTGTATTGGTATTAATTTAATATGCAAATTCCTTCTTTTTTTTTTTTTGGTGTGGACTTCACCTTGTTTGTCACCTGATTTTATATTTAAATAATAGTTGTTTAGTTGAAATTAAGTAATTTTCCAGTTTAAATAGCTTTTTGAATTTTCTGTAAGTTCTAAATTTATTTTCATTAATCTTGTTCAATGTCATTCCTATGGTTAATGAATTGAAAAAATAAATTTCTAGCAGTCAAGTCTGTACTATCGAGCTCATTTTTTTTTTATACAGTATTTAATTACTCAGTCACAATCAGGGTGGTCATGCACCGATAAGTACGACACATGAATTAGTAACAGCGAGTGACAAATTGTTAAATGCAGGTCAGATATTTGCAAGATTTCGAGCACTTTTCTATCAAATTACCGGTAACTACACTAAAAAATAGGTGTGTGAAATTTCTAGATTAGCCAATGAATTTGACTTAGGTGATTCGGTTCTTTCCAACATGACACTTCATATAAAGTGATTGTTTATTTTTTTGAATGAAATATCTGAAAATAGTACGAAACTTGAAATCGAAAGTTGTGCTGTGGTAAATTAAGGTTTGGTTGGGTGAAGTTAGAATTATTTTCATAAAATTTCCGATGTGGGATTTCATGTTTTTTTTTTGTGGTATTAAAATATATTTTTTTTTACAAGAATTTAAAATTTCATAAATTAGAATTTTGTTTTGTAAATGAGAGAAATTAAGTTCTGTTGTATAAATTTAATTTTTTTGTTTTGTTAATTCAAGTTTTGCTGTGTAAAGTTTTATTTTGTAAATTGTATTTCTGTTTCGAGGAATTAAGTTTTTGAGGAATTATTAAACTAAGTACATTTTTTTCGTAAAATAAATTTATGTTGTGAGAAGTTAAAGTTTTGTGAATTAAACTTTTGTTTCATAAATACGATTTGTGTTGTGAAAATAAAAATTGATTGGCATCTGTGTACCTCTCTCCTTAACCATTAACTATTTATTTGTTTATTAAATACTGCTGCATCTTTTATTGATAACTCATTGATTCGTTGCTTAGTGATTTGTGAATTACCCTAACCTATTCACAACCTTGATTCATGGTGTTGTCAGAGAAGGTTTAATTAATTATTATTACTATTATAATCCACATATTGTCTGGGTTTTGGGGGTTCGTATTTTGCTGATTATTGATTTGTGAATTTACCAAAACCCATGGACAACCCCTGGTGAACCAGTAGCTGTGGTTCTGTAGTTCAAATTGCGATTGTTTACAGTTCTTGTTGACATTTGATTTTCCTCTTGTTGGATACCACCAATGAACTATGATACTGGGGGTTCATGATCGTGTCAGTGGGTGAACACTTGCTGGTATCAGCATGTCGCCTTTGCCCATTATGTATTCTAAGTTAGTAATCAAGTTCTGTCACCATTCTTCAAATGTCAATCGCACCAAGGCTTCAAGGGTAGCTGTCAAACATGGTCGCATCATTCATGGGAAGAAAATTTTGCCCAAGTTCAGTTCACCTGTACCTTGTTGTGAAAATACATATACCATCTGATATTAGTCAAATTTTACTCCTTATTTTCAAATTTTAAATAGAGTTTACTTGACAGACCAGAAACAGATGGGATATTCATTCAAATACTTAACTTTTCAGAGTGGGTATACATTACTGACTGTGTATAAATCATCAAAATCCCTTGGAATACTACATTATTATGTAGATTCCAATGTCAACAGGTGCATTGCATCTTTAGCACTAATGGACTTCATTTAAGCACTGGCATTGTATTTATTAATAGGACTCAGTCAACTTTTGTCAACTTTCTCGAAATAAAACCCACATGTTTATCAAGATTTGTTCCAAGTTGCGTTGTATATTGATTTGGTTAAAAATTATCAAAATTGATACAAAAGATGGTTGAAAACAGGCATACACTGCAGTGTTGGAAAAATTATGGTGCTGAAATGTATACTGTAATCTGGTATGTTGGGTGTACCTTTATCACCTTTAATTCTCTAGTTTTAGTTTCAGTAAAAATGATTTTTCCACTTCTGCAGCAGCGTTCTCCCCGGGATTTTGGTCAAGGATGGCAGCCATTTTGTATATTAATTAACATATAATTTGCATAATTTATTCATAATAATTGTTTTCTCTTGTGTGTGTGTGTGTGTCTGCCTGTTCCACTGATATCTCAAGAACCATATGTTGGTTTTTGATGAAACTTGATGCATAGATGCTCTGGGCTAATACGCAGATTTGATTAGGTTTTGGTTAAAATCAGTGTTTATTAATTACTTAATTTGCATAATGATTTGTCAATGTTTGACTTTTTTACTGATATCTCAAGTATGTACTAATCATCTCATTACAATGAAACTTGGTATACAGATGTCATAGGACAGTGCACAGATATGATAATTTTAGATTATTATTCATGCATATTAATTACCTATTTTGTATAATTAATAAATGTTAAGCTTTTCTGCTGATGTTTCAAGTACTAATCTTTACATTTCAACTTGGTACATAGATGCTCCATGACTATTCACAGACCGGATTAGTTTTTGGTTAAAACCAAGCATATTAATAACCTAATTTGCATATTGATTGGCACATTTTGGTCATTTTCAATTCTTTCTAAAATACCATTCAAAAAATTTTGATGAAACCTGGTACAATAGATGCCCTGGGATAACACATAAACCTGATTAGACGTGATATAAGTACTGTAAAATAGTTGCTGATAGGGACATGCAACTGGTGCTATAGTTTTGTCTGACAAGATATATGACCAAAATAACAAGTCATTATTTCATTAAATATATATAATTGTTTAACCATAGCTACTTGGAACCTCCCAGATTATTGCTTGCTGTTATATTTTTAAGTGCTGTATTTTCTCTAATAGAAGCACATGTGCTAACTTCATGTCTTCAATACCTTCAGCACACAGAAGTTCTTTCTAAATTTTCTTTGATTTTATTTAGAATGAAAACATGATTTATGGTTTAAGAAAATCAATAAATCATAACAAAAATATTATTATAGATCACTCATTCGCAATTTGTTGTACAAAAATATTGGCAAAATATGTAATGAAGGATTCTCGGTTAATTGAGAGCAATTAACGGTACATCTAAGCTGTATAAAATAATCCTGGCTATCTGATATCTGACCAGTTGAATGTAAAATATAGGAAAAAAGCTATATTCACAGGGTTTTATTTTCACTGAATCATTCCTTCAACAAAAATAGCGAATATAAATTCCGAGCGACAATTTTACTATATGCTGGATCATTTAGTTTTGTCTTACTTTGAGCAGAGACCCATGAACCTATGCATATTATTATAACATATGAATTCATGCACATGCTTTTAAACTAAAAAAGTAAAAATATAGTACTGTATTCTGCTCTGTTGTAGGTAGAAGTGGAAAAACCTTCACCTGGTGAAAATGGTATGTACATTGTTTATTGTTTTACACAGATATTAAATCAGCATAAAACACAAGTTAACTTTCTCATAGCCACATTTCTGAATCAATTTATGAATTTAAAACCTCATGAACAAGTTCAAAATTTTACTGACAATGAACAATTAGAGGTTATTTGAGGGTAATACTGCAGATAATGTGTAATATGTAGCGGTAAAAAAATGTCTATATTGCTTTGAGCAATACCACATGTTATCTTTAATATTATCTACATGTATGAATGATCTTTTTATCGTGGAACTGACCACTAAAAAGAGAGCAAGCGTGAATAGTAGACGCCAAAACCTGTTGGTGAAGAACACAGTGTGCATACTTGGGAACATGCACTCATCATTATTGTGGAATATGTAAATATTGGATGCGGGCATCAAACACCAAACTATTTGATTTGCCAAAGAGTTCATAAAACTAATGAATTTTTAGCTCTGCTGTCGACTTTGTCGAGCGGAGCTTATCATATGAGTGATTGTCCGTCGTCGTCATCCGTCGTCGTCCATGTCAATGTTTTACTTTTTCGACTTCTTCTTGAAAACTACAAGCCTGAATGCTTTGATACTTGGTGTATATGTACCTTGGGTAGACCTCTCTTAGATTTGTTCATTTCATGATGATATCTTCAATTCTCTAATTTTGATGAATATTTTTGTAACTTTTGGTAAAAAGTGATATTTTTCACTTCTTGTTGAAAACCGCAAGTCTGATTGTTTTGATACTATACATATTGTTCATTTTCTAATGATATCTTCTGTTTTTTAATTGAAATGTGCATTGCTAACAGCGGAGCTATCTCAGCCGAGAGGCTGCTTGTTAACAATTTCTGAATTCTTGCAAAGTATTGAGTTATTTGAATCTGTAATATTTAAATTTGCAAACAATGTGCACAAAATGAGAGTATTAACATTTGCGAATGGAATCACCCGTGAATGATGCTATAGAAAGTAAACAAGATGTAAATCTAACGTGTTCATTAGTTTATTTCATTTTTCTATGACTACAGAGGTTCTACTTGCTATTGACTCAGTGGGGATTTGCGGTTCAGATGTTCACTACTGGACTCATGGAGAAATTGGAGATTTTATCGTGAAAGCACCAATGATATTGGGACATGAATCAAGTGGAGTAGTGGCAGCCCTTGGTAAAGGGGTCAGTACTCTTAAAGTTGGTATGTTCTATTTGTATTACAAAGACTTCATAAAATGTTGATGTACAAGTACTGAGATATGTGATGAGAATCTTGCCTAAACTGAATATGTCATATACCTTGCACAGTTATTGCCCTGCCTCGTAACACTATGGGCAGTGCGCCCTCACATCATGGCCTTTGCTGCCCTTGGTCGTGTGGCTTAGGCACCCTTGCAGGCATGGACGCTTCTACATTCTAGTGTCTAGAAATCCTAATGCAAATGAGTGATTATTCATGCATATTAATTACCTATTTTGTATAATTAGTAAATGTTCAGGTTTTCTGCTGATGTTTCAAGTACTAATCTTAACATTTCAACTTGGTACATAGATGCTCCATGACTATTCACAGACTGGATTAGTTTTTGGTTAAAACTAAGCATATTAATAACCTAATTTGCATATTGATTAGCACATTTTGTATGTAGTATGTGAGAGACTGACAATATCTGCCATTTCCAATGCACTAGAAATTCATGCATATTTAATTGACAAACTATCTTTATTGCATCATTAAGTTGAGTACCTGTACCCTTATCTTAGAAATTCCAGTATGGTCCATTGCATGGGCAAAGTTTCAGCAGGTGAGCGATCTTTTGATTGCAACAAATTTATTATGAGTCAGTGAAAACATCTAGTGCAGATCAAAATATTAATTAATATTTTTTAGAACATTTTAATTATTTCCGTGGCCTATGCTAGAGTTCATTTAAAGCTGTTTGTAGTCACTGATGCCTATTCAAAAAATCATGGGAAAATTGTGACTCCTGTGTATCGGTAAACTTTGTTTGCCAAAGAGTTGTTATTACTGTGAAATGTAATACTTCATCAATGATTTCCAGAACATTCCAATTTTCTGTTCATTTTAAACAAATCATGCCATTTTTCACCCAAATTAATGCTAAAGGATTCACTCCAACACTTAAAAATGACTTCTATGTTGTGTTGCATCATCGATCCAACTCTATGCAAAATACGTTCTGCTGGCCCTATCTAGCACTCTCTAATTGATTAAAGAACAGTAGTCGTCGCGCCATGTTTGCGCAAGATGTATGGGACTCGTATAAACAAAGATGACGACTTTGACTGTAGCGCAGACCAACAAGTACAAACTGAGACGTTACAAAGCTTTAATGGAGTATTTTTAGGTGATAGGAAGGTATCAACGAAGTCACCAGGGGTAATTAGTGCAAGTCGCACCTAGGTCAAACCTCATACTTTTGATTTCCATTAGAAGAGCACATTGGATTGTGGGAAAATCAATGTTTATCAACACAAAGTTGCACATGTGCAGCGTGACGACCACTGCCCTTTAACCACCAGCTTGACCTATAAGGTCAACTAGCGCCTGAAACAAGCATGCTGGATAACATTTCAAGTTGAGTGTTTGTGTGTGGTCAAAAATGTTTGCTCATGATAAATGTAAGTTGAGATGAGTTTCTGATGGAGCAAATATGGTATGTTTTATAGGTGACAGAGTGGCCATTGAACCAGGTGTACCATGTAGACAATGTGATTACTGCAAAGGAGGAAGATACAACCTATGTCTTGATATGGTGTTTTGTGCCACACCCCCAGTGCATGGGTCTCTGGCAAACTATTATTGCCATGCAGCAGATTTTTGTTACAAGTATGTTCAAATATTTTTAATTATTCTTAGAATTAAAGACAAAATTTGTGTTGCTCTCAGGTGCGAACATAAAGGCATTTTTACTGCCTGGCAACCACCACAGTTGGTGAAAATATTTGGTTGAAAACTCTCCAAAAACTTTGGTTGCTTATGACTACCCATCGTCCGAATCGCACAGTCTCGTGTCTTCGACCTTTAGGCCTCTACACGATACCGTGCGGGATCGCATGGGCTAATTGCGTATCTTAAGCAGAAAGATCTGATTGGGCGCACCTCGAAACAAAGCGCCCAATCAGCTTGGACGTACCAAATTATAAAACAAAATTCCACTTCCTGTTTTTGTCGCTATGAACACATCCTTCCCGCACAAAACTGCATCGATTGCCTGTACCTGATGAGGCTTGAGGACACCAACATCGAAAACTTTCGCAATTTTATCATCACAAATATCACGATTCAAGGGCGCCGCCATTATGTATAAAATGAAACAGCAAAGGGGGATTTGTAACATGCAAACTGATTGGACAATTATTAGCCGCAACTGACTACTGGGGGTGCTGTTAGAATACATATATTACCCTAAAGTTGAGTTTTATTTGTTGAGCTATTTTCACAGGTTTTTTTGACGGCATTTCACAACAGCTTGCGTAGAGCTCATGAAAATACATAGTACAGTGGTGTGTGTCTAGATCTGCACCAAGAATACAAAAATTTGTTTTATGTTCTACTTCTATAATATTGTTTGCCCCACCCTATAGCAGGGTTTCCCTAAAATTTTGATGAGAAGGCTCAATGAAAAAAGTAAGATATATATAGTAAATAATACTTGTTCTCAATAACTATTAAAAAAATAGCTACCGTTTGCCAAACCCAGAAAAACAGCGCTGCATTTTTTCACCCAGTTTTCTGCAATTTTTTATTGCAGACTGTTTATGTCGACCATGTTTTAACAAAGTAATGAAACTGTCAACTCTGAAAGAAAATCTCAGAAACACTACTCGACTGATCATTCAAGAGTTGAACTGTTACACAATTTTTGTGATTTGCCATTCCCTGTCTTTGTTGCAACAGCTAGTAATGCCTCAATTGCATGGTTTTGGTGATCAGTGAGGTTTTTTATCTTGAAAAACTGCATGTTCTGCTTGTGTCGCCATTTAAAAAAAAAAACACTCTACTGTATCTTGATACAAGATAGAAGATTAGCTGTTTATTTTTGTCGCATCTCCCCTCTTTGTTGTTGAGGGCGCCTACTAAATAAACACTGTAGTAGTTCAATCTGCCAATGGTTAGTTTGGAGGGGTGAAATGTTTCTTGACTGGCGGAGATGGTCATACCAGTTTTTATTTATGTTATTCCCTGATGACCGATTTCGCTATTGTGCATTTTGACTATTCTAACTATTAAAAACACTTGTTTTTTTAACACTTTCAGTACAAATTTCAAACGCTGTAGGCTTGACGATCTTGTCTCTGGTTTTATCTTCATTTCCTAGCTGCGACCAAATACACAGTACATGCTGCTGGCTTAGTTTTTGACCTCTGCATTTGTACACATACATCATGCATCTTAGTATACACTTGCACATTTACTCAAAATGCGGTTGCAGAATTACTTCTTCAACATGCCCTTATCAATCATGATCAAACTTTATTAATGCATCGTGCATTATGTCACGCATATGCCCATATGTACAGTTGTTGATCCGATTCAAGATTGTCAAATGACAGTCATTTTAATTTATCAAATTCAAGCATTTTTTCAGTTCCTGGATCTGGGTCTCAGTTGTGTATGCATGAATATATTTACCACAATGTCTCATTTCAGTGGCAGCGCTTTTTAATTTCTAATAACTTCATACAGTAGGCATGTCTGAGCTAGACATCAGCCACAATTGACACAAGCCCAACAGACATTGTAGCACATATGAAAAATGTTCACTTTAATAGCACCCTTGGTTTACGCAAATGACACGTTTTAAATTTATATCACATAAATATTTTATATAAAAAACGTTCATGCTTTATTCTATGTATTCTGTGTATACATACATGTGTATATCTCTCTGAAATTCAATAAATAATTCTCTAAAGAATCATATTATAGTTGTTTTCATGATAATTGATTGGTCAAATCTGTAATGCATCAGTGTTTTTTTTTTTTTATAACAGACTTCCTGATCATGTGAGTTTCGAGGAAGGTGCTCTTTTAGAGCCGCTGTCTGTTGGTGTTCATGCATGCAGACGTGCTGGGGTCACCCTGGGGAGTAAAGTACTTGTGTGTGGCGCTGGTGAGTTCACAAATTGAAGTGTAAATTAGTCTGATATTAGTGAGAACATTAGATGTAGGAGATATAGCCTTGGCTTTACTGACATTGCCATACATGTACAGTTTTCAATAGGGAAAAGGATAAGAAAAACATTCCTTCAATTAACGATGCTACAAGCTGCTATAGCAAGATGAATTGTTTGGCTTGCTTTGTTTTTTTTGCCAAAATATTTTGGCATATTGTAATTAGTATCATTACTTACCCATCTTATAACTCTACCAATTAATTGCGAGTAAGTATGCAAAAATATTTCCTGATAGTCAATAAAAAAGTTCATCATTAGCTGCATGTCACCACACATTTGTTGATAACAATTACATATTATGTATTAGGTCCTATTGGTCTGGTGAATCTACTGACAGCGAAAGCCATGGGTGCAGCTAAAGTCATTATCACAGGTAGGCATACATATATATATATAGACTGAATTTAGCTTATGTAATATTGTATGTTGTCAGGTTGTGCATTAACAAATGTTTTTTTACACCCACTAGGTGTCAAACATTTCTTTTATTATTGTTAATGGCAGTTTGAATTTTCAGTGATAATTCTTTTAATTACATACTATTGACTTAAATATATTTAGGTAGCCAAAGTTTTTTATAGTTTGTTAAATTACACATGTGAATACTACAAAGTCACACTTATGTTATATTAGATAGCCAATTTTAAGCCTTTTAAATTTTTTCTCAAGAACCATTCAACTGATTTTAATGAATCTTGATACACAGATGCTTCCAAATAATGCAAAGACCTGATTGTTTTTTTGAAATCCATGCATATTAATACCCTAATATGTAAATATGCTTTTCAAGTACAATCAAGTACTTACACATATTTCAATTAAACTTGGTACATAGATGCTCTTCAATAATGCATAGACATGATTGGTTTTTTGTTTAAAGCCATGCATATAAATTACCTACTTTGCATATTACCCGGTAGTCAATTTGAAGTCTTTCACTCTTTTCTAAAGAACCATTCAACATATTTCAATAAAACTTGATGATCTAGGATAATGTGCAGACCTACTTAGTTGTTGGTTGAAATCTATGCATATTAATGACCTAATTTGCATATTAATTAACAAATTTTAAGCATTTCCACTTGAAGTACCATTTATAAGATTTAAAAAAAAAATGGAACATAAATGCTCTGAAATAAAACCTGGTTAGCTTTTGTGACATCTATAATAATTAGGCATAACTGTAATATCTTACTGTTGCAGATAGGAACATGCAACTGGTGTTTTCTGATAAGATATATGACCAAAAAATCAAGTCATATATTATATTATTGCATTAAATGTTTATTGTTAAACCATAGCTACTTGGAACCACCCTGATCATTGCTTGCAGTTAGATTTTTCTAAATGGTGTATTTGCTCTGATAGAAGCACATTTGCTAACTGTTAATATATAGTAAATACAGTATTCCTTATTTGTACTTCATGCCTCTAATATCTTCAGCTCTTGGAAGTTCTTTCTAAGCTTTCTTTGATTCATAGTGAAAACCCAGGTACATGTATATGTATTTAATTAAGATACAGTGTAATATTATGTTCTTTGATTTCTTGACACTTGAACTGTAGTTGAAATATTAACAATTTTTCAAGTGAATTCCATATACGTTGTTTGTTTACCATTACAGATATTTAAAATATTTTCAGATATAGACCAGGGCAGACTGGATGTAGCCAAGCAGATAGGAGCTGATTTTACAGTGTTAGCAGACAGCAAAGATGGACGTGAAATGGCAAAGAAAATAGAAAGTACACTAGGTTGTATGCCAGATATCTCAATTGAATGTAGTGGTGCACCATCTAGTATTCAGACTGGGATTTATGTAAGTGGCATTTTTTGGTGATACTGGTAATTTAAACATTTTTATTAAATATTTCATGCAAAGATTTTTAGTCTCCATTTGGACACAGTCCGAAAACGGGGACTTATGTTTCGAATTTTGTATGATCGTGTGTCTGTGTGTGTGTGTACGTGCCGTCCGGACCTGTATCTTAGATATGCGCCTGAACCAATCACAATCAAACTTCACACATACAACTGTACATCATACACAAAAAATAATCAAAATCAAGCATTTATGGATGGATTTTGTTTAAACTTGGTACATATGTTGGACATTATGGGACCTTGATGCACATCATTTTATTTTTCAGATCCAATTTAAAATGGCCTACTGGCGGCCATTTTGTTTCAATAAATGCAGTTCTAGTACCATATCTCTGCCATGCTTTGACTGATTATGTTCAAATTTTTTATATTCTTTATACATCATGACATAGATATATTGGTTTGATTATCTGATTCAAAATGGCCAAATGGCAGCCGTCTTTGTGCTAAAACAATCATCAAAAATCAAGCATTCTGGTATTCCAGATCTGGATCTTGGCATTTATGGATGGATTTTGTTCAAACTTGGTACACATACATTAAAGATCATGGGTTCCTGATGCACGTCATTTTATTTTTCTGATCGGATTCAAAATGGCTGACTGGTGGCCGTTTTGTTTGAATGAATACCCTTCTAGAGCCATATCTCTGATATGCTTTGACTGATTATGTTCAAATTTTATATTTTCGTTTTGCATCATGTCATAGATGTATTCAAAATGGCCTGCAAGCCAAACAATTCAGCTTGTTTCTTATGTGTGCTTTCCATCCGTTCTGTTTCTTTTACATCTCAAACATTTTCTCTGAAATTCTGCAGCAGATATCGATTGCAGGTTGATGAACAAGTTACTGTTGAATATGCATGTTTTTTTACAGATCTGAAAATCCTAAGTGGATCTTTTTCATGATTTATATCATAAATTCCCTCTCCCAACAACACTGAGAGAACAACTGAGCATGCTCAGAATAAATAATTAGGTTAGATGGTAATGCTAAGGTTTTCAGTGACGTCATGACCTTGATCTAAATCAGTGACAGAAATGGACCACATTTTTTTGGGGGGAGGGGGCTTATGAAAAATTAACATTGAAATCTTGAAAAATGTGGTCAGAAATGTTGTTGTATATTATATCTTTAAACTGTAAAAATTGCATTTAATTATAAAGAGCCATCACTGAAATACTGGATCACAAAGTTCAATGAAGATCAATGAAAACTCAGTGGAAACTGTAGAGGGGAGTTAGGGCTACATTTTGATGTGGTGATTATAGTGGTGATACTGAAACAAACCCAGGTCATGGACCTGAATTAACAAAGAAGTTTAAATTTGATAACTAACAGGGACTGTGCCATGCATGGCTTGTTTTCTTAGTTTTAAAATTACAAATTATTTGTTTTTCATTTGAATAGCTGGTTACAATCTAGTCTGAACTAGTTGTAGCTGGCTGTATACATATATATGCACACTTTTATATATTTCTAGGCAACAAGATCTGGTGGAGTTTTGGTTCTTGTTGGATTAGGACCATCAGATGTGACTTTACCAATAGTGAATGCAGCTGTGCGAGAGGTCGATATCAGAGGAATCTTTAGATATGCAAATTGGTGAGTTAGCTTCACTGATTTCTCAGTAATAGAGTAACGAACTATTCTGTGTTTTAAAGGTTCATTTTTTGCTAACTTTTTAGCACCGCTATCGACTTTGTCAAGCGGAGTTTATCATATGAGTGATTGTCTGTAGTCATCCATCGTTCGGCATCTGTCGTCAGTAAAAACTTTTTACTTTTTCTACTTCTTCTTGAAAACTACTAACAATTATTATTGATTTGATGCTTGGTGTATATGTACCATGGGTAGACTTTTCTTGGATTTGTTCATTTCGTTATGGTATCTTCAATTCTCTAATTTTGATGAATATTTTTGTCATTTTTGGTGAAAAGTGCCATTTTTTCAACAAGGGAACAGGGGAGCAGATCCTCTGGCAACCATAAAATTCTGATTGACCAGGAATCACATGTGGCCACAGTCTTCAACTGTGACTTGTCTGATAGTAATTTTGGCTTCAAAAAAAACATAGAATGCTCCATTTTAACTTAAATTATCAAAAACGACACACCCTGGTAGGGAGAACCATATCTCCCCCCCACTTGGTGGCGCCACTGAATTGCAGTGCTTCCTCTTGCAGGAAACCTGCTGTGTTATGTGACATTATCACATGTAATTTTGACGAAGTTTTATAGATGAATTAAAAAATAACAATACATGCAATTTGTGCTCTTTAGGGTTACTGACTGATGAAATATGACTGTCGAAACAAAATCAAAACTGTAATAACTGTAATTATTAAAAGGTCATACATCATGTACTTACAAGATAAAACCTAGCAGCCAGGCCAATCAGAAAGCAATTTGTTGACAGGTTTATTCAATGTATTAAGCCTTGTTTATATGTTTTGATTCAACTGAAATTAAACCCCATAATTTGCAAGTTCAGTACAGAATGGTAGCACAAAAATTGATCTCTTCGCTTGTCAGAATGCCATTGAAATAATCCCTACCCAGTGCACTTAAGAATGGTCTGGTGACTACGGAAACAATGTAGGCGACACAGAATTGTGTGCTATCAACTGATAGGCTGTCTTCATGACTTCAGTACATTACTATGGGAACTTGCATGCTTACCGGTACCCGTCTACAGCCCTCCAGAGCAATTTGCTATTCTAATATTCATAATCGTCGCATGATAATAGACGATATCTCGTCTAGGTAAAACTTAGAAAACTTAGTTATGATAGGCATGTTATCCCAAACCTCAAAAAAACAAATAAATTTATGTTCTGTCAAAACTCTCAAAAATATGACATTTTTTGTCCACTTTGTTTTCACCAACTTAAACTCACTACTGACTTGTGTACAATTTAATGAAGGTCAAAGTTCATGTTTTTTATTCCTTTCAGCTATCCAACTGCATTAGCAATGATTGCATCTGGTAAGGTGGATGTCAAACCTCTGGTAACTCATCGGTTCACACTGGCTAAATCATTAGATGCATTTGAGACAGCCAGAACTGGTGCAGGGGGAGCCATCAAAGTCATGATCAAGGTGGCAAATAAATAACGCTGCAGGAAATTCATTAAAACAAAATGACTGTAGTTTGAGGACACTATGTAAATTTGTTGATAGGATTTTCAATCTCCAATATAGTCAATTGAGTAATTGTAAAACTTATTTTTTGAGCATTTTTACTCAGGTTTTGGCTTGCCAAAGTTTCCTCTGAGCTTGTTCTCTTTGACCCATCAATGCTAAATGGGTCACAGCTGGTGAATACAGAATAAATTTATCTTGGATAGTATAATCGCTTGTACAAATCAACACTTCGGATTCGTACATATTTTATGAATTAACAGAAATAAGACAATGTGTCAACACTTAGCAAGGTAATACAATAAAATATCACTGTCAAACTTAATAGTTATTATCATCTCGACAGTTTTGTCACACATTTTCTGAGTTTACAATTAAACTTGTACATTCTATATGTAATGTTACATATACAGTAGTGTGATATTTAATGCTGGTTTAATCTCCTGACATATGTGGTGCTGATATCATCAGTGCACTGAAATATAGACACTGGGTTCAATGTATAAGGGCATTATATTGAATTCTGATGCTGCAGAACTTATCACAATGTCAACATAGTAATATATGGTCACTACAACAACAGAAAAGGCTGCAACTTTAGACGATTTTGAATGTCTGTTTGATAAATTAATACTAAATGCAGTATTTTGAATCCAATCATGGTACCGAATTATGTACTTTTGTATTGTTTATGTTCTTTTGACTCTATTTACAAGAATTCTTAGACTTTCCTAAATTGGAATGGAGTTTAGCTTTGAAACATCCATCACAACTTTAAATCCAATTTCTGGATTTATTTTTAATTCCTTGATTTTTGACTTAGAGAATAGAGATATATAATGATGTACTTGTGACTAAAGGAATCAAAGGTTGCTACGGAGTTGACGTTAATTGAGTGTTTTTCAGAATTGCTCTAGGATCAAAAGCTAGATGTTTACAAATTTAAGATTGTATTACTGTAAACTGAGGAACATTTTTAGGGGAATATGTTGGTGTAATATCGAACACACTGTATTCATTCAGAGATATATTTAATCCTGTAATAATATTCTTAATGCCCATGTACAAATGAAATAAAGTACCGGTAGTCAAAAATATTCACCACTTGAGGGCACTCATTAGTTGTTCGTTGAGGGCATAGATCATGTGCGTTGACAGTATTCATTCCTATATTCGGCGTTGATGGTTGTGCATGTAAATGCCTACATTAGTACATAATGGCTACATTTAACTGGACCAGGGAAAAAATGTTTCTAATCATTTTGTTTACTAAAATTTATGTGGCATTGTTATTAGAATGATTAATGATACTCTAGGATAATGCTCGCACCTGATTAGTTTTTGGTTGAAATCTGTGCATATTAATTATCAATTTGCATATTAAATAGCACATTTAAGTATTTGTCACTTCATTCAACATAATTTAATGAAACATATATAGTCTGGGATAATGCACAAATCTGATTAGTTTTTGGCAGAAGTAAATATGATTTGACTAATATTACCCGACTATATAATGTGTGTGACCTCAATAATATGCTTAAATGTAATATCTTAAGTACTGCTGTAGATGAGACATGCAACTGGTGCTATAATTTCGTTGTCTGACAAGATATATGATCAAAATATCAAGTTATATATGGTGATTATTTCATTAAACGTTTATAATTGATAAATCATACTACTTGGAACCACCCTGATTATTGCTTGTAGTAATATTTGTAAATGCTGTATTTGCTCTAATAGAAGCACATGTGCTAACTGTAAATATATAGTAAATACAGTGTTCCTTATTTTGTACTGCATGCCTCTAATACCTTTCTACACACTGGAGTTCTTTCTAAAAGTCTTTTTCCACTGATATCTCAAAAACCATATGTTGGTTTTTGATGAAACTTGATGCATAAATGTGCTAATGAGAGGATTTGATTAGGTTTTAGATGAAACCATGAATATTAATTACTTACTATGCATGATAGCTAATTTCACTGTTATCCAAAGAACCATTCGTTGGATTTTGATGAAACGGATTTGTTTAGTTTTAGGTAAAAATCAATGCACATTAGTTATCTAATTTGCATAATGATTAGTAAATTTTCGACTCTTCTACTGATACCTCAATTACTAATCACCATATTTCAATGAAACTTGGATGTCATAGAACAATGCACAGACCTGATAGGTTTTAGGTTAATATCCATGCATTTAATTACCTAATTTGTATAATTAGTCGATATTAAACTGTTTATATTTCAAGTACTAATCATAATATTTCAATTAAACTTGGTAATAGATGCTCAAGAACAAGAAGCTTTGCAAACTAATATTTGTCTGCTATTAGAGATGCACAAAGTTTATAATACGTGCAAATTAGCATTGTTCCCAGGCACTTGTTTACCAAGTCTTATTGAAATGCAATGATTGTTTTTTTTTATTCGGACGCAGTCAGCAAATGGGGACTTATGTTTTGACCTTTGTACATCAGTGTATGTGTTTGTGTGTGCGTGCGTCTGGACGGACCTATGTCTTAGACATGCCTGGACCAATCACAATCAAACTTCACACATACATCATACATAATATTATACATATGCACATCAAGATGTCTGAATGATGGCCATTTTTTGTGCTGAAAAATCATCAAAGTCAAGTATTTATGAATGGATTTTTGTTTAAACTTGGTACATACATTGGACATTATGGGACCTTGATGCACATCATTTTATTTTTCAGACTGTCGGCCATTAATGAATGCAGTTCCTGTGCCATATCTCTGCCAAGCTTTGACTGATTATTATCAAATTTAATATATTCATTATACACCATGACATAGATAAATTGCTTTGACTATCTGATTTAAAATGGCCAACTGCAGCCATTTTTGTGCTAAAAAAAAGCATCAAAAAATCAAGCATTTCTGGCATTCCAGAACTGGATCTTGGCGTTTATGGATGGAGTTTGTTAAAACTTGGTACATACATTAGAGATTATGGGTTCCTGATGCACGTCAATTTATTTTTCAGATCGGATTGAAAATGGCCATTTTGTTTATATGAATGCACTTCTAGAGCCTTATCTCTGATATGCTTTGACTGATTATGTTCAAATTTGTTATACTCATTTGACATGTTATAAATATATTGACATCAATATATTTATAACATGATGTCAAATGAGTATAACAAATGGCTGACTGGTGGCCATTTTGTTTTAATTAATACTGTTCCAGAGCAATATTTCTCAATATAGACAAGTACTCATTTGACGATCAGATACAAGGTGTCAATCATTTTATTTTTTAAAAATCATCATAATCAAGGATCATCTTCTGGATCCATGCATGTTTATGTTCCAACTACCGGATTCTGCCGTAAATTCGCCCATCCAAAAAATCGCCCTGGGAGGACCTTATTTGGGGTTCAAATTTTCAAAAAGTGATCATCAAATATTTTTAGAGGGCTTATATTTTCATTGAAAAATCCACCTACGCCGATTTTCAACACCGGCAGTTGGACCACCGAAAACGAAAGTAACTATTGCAGAAGTTAATTTAAAATTTTATATATTTTTTTCATGCTTTATTAGAAACTAGACCGCGCATCTTTCTTAGAAAAAAAATCACATTAACGAACCTCGTGCGCCAAATACAATTATTTTGTTTCATTTTATTGGTAACGAAAGTATATTCTAAAAGAAGTTTCAAATAAAAACGAACCCAACTGCATTGCTTAGTAGCAAATGATTGTGGTAGCGCAATCCGGTCATGCCGCGTTTCACAATTGTTGATTATTACCTAGTAATGATTATAATAGCGCGCAAAAAATAAATTCGTTGAATTGTTATGAAATGCAAATAAATTTCAACTTATTTCATCGTAAACGAATGATTGCGATCGCATCAACACTCTATACTGTAGAAATGAATATCTACCACATTTTGACCTGGAACGGTGTTTTTTGACCTGACAGGTGAAATCGCGATAATTAACCAATGATGATGATGATGCCAACGTGTTCAAATTACCGTAGGTCATTTAAATATGTTAATGTTATTGAACGCAGCACGGAAGAGATTTATATATAAGAGTATATATCTTAAATATATGATAACTAACAGGGACTGTGGCATGCATGGCTTGTTAGATATGGATAGACAATTGGGAATTGTTAGGCACATATATTTCAATCCAAAGGTAATTCAATTTAGTTTTAAAGTAATAATATGTCAAATGTATTCTATGCAGGCCTTTTACTCTTCGAACCTTATTAGTTTCGCAGATGCCAGTGCATCTAACACTGACCTTTAATCTAGCAGAGAAAATGGGTGCTGGCAATGGACTACCAGATTATTTGTCAGAGAAATTTAGGGAAGCGGCAGACAACAAAATGTCTGAACAATTCAATACTATTAATGCAACCAGTGGTAAAGCAGAATATATATTTCTTAGTTTTAATCTGGATTTGTAATTACTAGGGATTCATTTTCCCACATCTTATTTTTAAAAACCACTAATCACATTGTTCTTAAATTTGTATTTGGTATGTAGCGTTTATGTACAGATTAAATTATTTAGTTTAAAATATCGGCATTTGGTCACGTGGTTCAGCAGCGGCCATGCATGTCGGATTTAAGCAAACCCGGAAATGCTCTATTTATTATACTTCAAGAGTCTCAGTGATGTGTGTTTTTTATTGCTGGTATACACGAACTTTCATTTTTTGACATCTTAATTTCCTTGCAGATAAATTATAACATGCTTTAAATTGTACTTACGGTAATTCAATTAAAATTCAAAAGAGTACTATAGAGAAATTGAAATAAATACCACAATGTTTTTTTTTCTTTTGAAAAATGTAGAATAAAACATGAGACATAACAGTTTCTATGCATAACTTTTTTTTAGATGACTATTTTTGTGTTAAAAATGTCGACGATGTATTGCTCATATATACCACGTATACAATCTCTCAACACAAGTGAAGCAATCTAATGTGTGTACACTGACTATACTCATTTGATTGATCATTTTAATATCAGAATTAAACAAAGAATAATACCAATTGAAATGCATTTGTATTGACAGATGGATAGTGCAGTCGCTGCACTGATTCTAGTAATACTTACGAAATCTGCTGTGACCAATGTTTTTTTTATGTCCAGTAAAATTTTAATGATTCGTAAACAACTTAAGATGTTATAAAGTTACATCATGCTTGTATGATTTATTAATTATATGAAATACATGCAAATTTAGTCGTCATAACAATGCCTTTCCATTTACCTAATGACAAACATCACATACACAATTATCATTCAATATTCATGATTTCAAATTCTTGAAAATGAAATTGAAATATATCGTGATTTATTTGAACATGTTTTACTGCAAGGTACTGTAGATCCATGGCATCAAAGCATTTATATCTGGGGTTTGGCTTCTTTGAATAGCGCTGCCATGGACAGACGAATAAATGGTCTGAAAACAAGAATATGCGAGGATTGTCAAGATGTGGCAACATTTACTCATGTTTCATCGTCAATGTCACATTTGAAGCTAATTGCATTAGTCAGTTGCTGGAAGAGTTATTTGGTTTTTATAACTATTTATTCCGTAGCATGTTTCTTTTCAATTAATCCTATATTTTATTTGCATGAAGCTCGTGTCAGTTTCAGTATGAGTCTAAGAGTCTACGCATTATAACAAAGGCCAGTTAAGATGCCGACTTTATAAACAAATTAATTGCTTCGGTATATATAAATAACTAAGGCATATGTGTTTTAAAACTCCTCTAATGTGCAGTTCAATATAACTGATAGTTTGCATAATCTAAAATGTTATTTCAAAAAACATCGTCAACAATGCTGTGTTTATTGTTCTTTGTTCAAAATACATGCAACTAAAAAAAGCATCATAATCTACGCATTGCGTATTTCTTCAGTTACAGACAACATAAAGAAGATACCTATGTATTACAAAATGTGTACCAGCAACATCGGACGACTCAACTCTAATAACTGACTTTGAATAAATTAAATAAGTGTTTGTGTTGAGTCATAAACCGGTTTAGTATACATTTGTGTCAACAAAACTATTATTGGGCATCATACCTGTCGTACGCCATCACCGGTCCCGATGCGCCCTTCTTTCTAGCATTTGCCACAAACATGTAATTACGTGTTAAGTCATACACAGCAATATGAAGATCTCCAGTCTGAACAATAGAGACAACATCTCGAATTGTATTTTCCGCTGTTATGTTACCATGGTATTTCTGCAACTGACGTCCAAGGACTGAGCTGTAATCAGGGTCAATCCAGTCCATTCCTAAATAAACGAGTACACAAAATTAATCTTCCAATTGTTTTCTTATGATTTAAGACGAATAATGGATTATCTTTGCAAATTGTACGAATGAAATTCAGTCTTGCACTTGGGAACAATAGTTGATTGTATAACGAGTAAGAATTTTTTAAACTCACCCCAGTACACAACATGTCGTATTTTAGGATGCCAGGCGGCTTCTGGCCTTATGTTCATATCGTCAAAGAAATCGGCAACTCCTGATGAATACTCGATACCTCTAAATGTTTCGAGCTGTAACAAACGTCAACAAGTGTGAACAACTGAGGAAGAAGTTAATTCAAATGAGTTTGACTATGGGAGAGAATTAATATCACAAATTATCCGTACTCACTTTAGCATCACCAACTCCAAGGATCAGATCGCAAGTTCTTCGCGCGTTGGCAATACGATTTAACGCATCGTCCAATGTGTTATCAAACTGAAGAATGTCTCGTAAGATGAACTGCAATTTAATTTGTTATTGAATCTGAGTTGTCCGTTTCGTACTGTGATTGTGAACAATATTCGGCCAAGTATATAAATACTATTCGAAGACTCCTACCGTGAATGGAATTCCAAATCTGGATTCTTCGCCAAAGGAATCGTCAGAAAAGTAAACCCCGATCTCACTAATGGCCATCTGTTTTGAGGACATACCTATTGATATTGTACACCAATACATATATGTGTGATTGAGGAATATCATTAAATAATTGCATTAATTGTTCATATATATGCGTTTTGGTCGAACGAGTTGATATAAACTACAGACGCGAGTATATGTGGAGAGATCACAGTTGCTTATACAGTCCGGAAGGGAATTTTGCAACTGCAAGTGAGCTTTACCTGTGATAGAGCCAATCCATCCACTCCATCCAACATTAGCAAATGCATGTCCATTGGTAGAATTGGTTTCATCAATATGATAGACTGTTATCTGTGGATAGTTCTGTAACGGACCTATTAATATATAACTAGGACATTATCCCCCAAACCAACAAGTCTGTGCGTATAACGCTCTCCCACTTTTCGTGTTACATTCAATAAACAGTATATGTGTAATAATGTATCACCTCCAGATGCCCAGTCCAGAGCACGTAACTGCATGACTGCCCCGGGAAATGGTAGAGCGTCACCCCAAGCTCCATACATAGAACAACTGCCTTTCCTATTTATGAAAATAGTGTATTATATTATATAATATATCAACAAATTATGCAAATTAAAACATTATAGAAGTTAGAAAGTGCCTACATGGATACGACAGAGATTGTTATCTTGAAATACACACTCACGTCAATTCGCCAAACATATGGATACGTTCAAGTTTCTGAAACGTAGAGAAAATACGTAATGGCATTCTTATAAATATCAATTCATGTTAAATAACTATAAATAAAACATTGACATGTATTAATATTACCTTCACATCTATTCTAGCACCATCAGACAAACCTTTCATCTCTTCATAAAAATAAGAAGCTACAAAGACAACCACAAAATTGTCGGTTGAAAAGTATATGTGATAGGCTTACTATTAGATTGAATAATCCAAATTTACTATAATTTAATAATGTCTATAAACTTGCTTAAAATTTACCTACGTGTAAATGGTTTAGTTGCGGCAATTTCCAATTCAAGAGCAGCCTCTAAGCTGTAAATGAATATGCATCGGTAAGGAAGCGAAAATAAGAAGCCTCATAGTCACACTCGTGTGCCTGATAAAATCATCGTCCATGTCAAATTAACAATAGCATACAGTTTCTTCAATTTATAATGAATACTTTTTAAACTGCCGTAAGCAACGACTTACTATTGACAATATGGCCGAAGATAGTCAATCATGTCATATGTATTTAATCAATATTTATCGATAGTAAAAATCGTTCTTACCCTAAATTGGCGACATCTTTCAGGAACCATGGTTGAAAGAATCCCGGAATAGTTTTATTAACTGCATCGATCTAAAGATTACAGTAACTAGGTAAATAGTGGTGCGATTTTATTCATCATAAGAATTGAGGTACCTAGTCTACTATGTCTATTACAGTTATGTTTTGATAATCGAAGAACATGGCTCGAAATTAAACTGTATCAAACCAAGGGGTGGGAAATGTAGAATGTTCTAATTTTGTGTAAGTTCATGATAAATAACTATTATGTCTTTTGTAAAATGTTAAGCATTTTGCTAAAAAGTTAATATATTATTTCTAAACAAAACAATAATGGACAATTAATACCGGAGCCTTACAATTTCTTGCTCAAAATAGTTCCAGGCTTCATCCATCATTGCACTAGCTTCGTCCTTTAAAATCGTTCCATGTGCATAACCTTTCTCATAAGGAGTACCTAAAATAAAGAATACGAGAAAACATACAGAGATATGATTGTTTTATGATGAGATCGAGGCGGCGGCACGAAATCTTGCATGAGGGGGCGAGATTTGCTAACCTTGCGCGACCTTACTAGGGGGTCCGGGCATGTTCCCCCTTAATAAAATCTAGACTCTCTGAAACGCCATTTCCTGCTTTTGGGGGAGGCAAATTTTGCTGACACGAAGGATACAACACGTTTAAAATGCATTGTTTATTTACATGAAATTCGAACACGCGCTGCCCGACGACCACCGCGCTTTAGGGAAATCAATCTATATAGATCAGTTAAAAAGCAGTTTTGTCAGTTTATGGGCATTATACCATTGTTTCCCATATGGCAACGATATGCCTCAAAATACATATAAAAATACATGCGTTAAAATATGCTTACTGGTGAAAAGAATAACATTCTACCTCGATGTCAACAATATAAGGATTACCATTGGGCAAGGAAAGTCACGGTATTGCGTAAGCAAAAGCAAAAACATTACCTTTCCCCACTGAAGTGAGAAGAATCATTGAGTTGTGCCACTTGTAGAGCATTATTATAAAACAGTGACAATTTTTCATATATAATTATTCATAATTTCCTCTCGATTGTATTTCAAAGAAGCAACCATTAATCAACTCCATACGATACATTGACAAAACAGCACTGTACGTATACTGTGCTTGATTCGTGATGATGATACAAAACACAAAATCAATGAATATCCTAGAAATGTGACATTCTTAGAATTGTTCATTACAAAAAAAGAGGACTTAATGCACTGTTTAAACCATTCTTACCCCAGAGGTGAAGCACATTTATGACGTCATCTCCTTTACCAACGGTATACAACTTTGCATTCTTTATCTGTTTCACAAACGTCGGAGGATCAGTTTGAAGTGGATTTAGATTCGATTTAGCGTGCGGATCAGGCTGGTAAACCGGGCGAGAAGTAAATATATTATTACATATGTAGAACCAACACGTGTATGGCTGTAGAAACTATAAGCAATGCTTACGTACTCAATACTTCAAAAATGCATAAACTAGAAATTGGTGGGAAGTGCGCCATCTAGAGATCGATGTCACTTCTTTTCGTCTTACAAACTCAAGGAAGGAAGAATGGTATCTGGTCAGCGTAATACGTAATACATTATATAAGATTCCATATATTGTAATGGATAGACAATAATGACAATATCTAATCCACGTCACAGGCACCGAAAATGCTGGAGTTGTGTTGACAATATCTAAATCCACATGGGCTTGGTCAATGCAAGTACAAATAGATCGCCATTGGTACGTACCTTTGAATAACAACAGACAAACGCAATCGCCATACATAATGATACAAGAATTGGTGTACGTAACATTTTCCAACACTTAGTTGTGATCAGAATGATATAAATGATATAAACAGTTCGACGCTCCTTTGTTTCGTCCCCGGAGCAGTCATGTGATTTCATTTAATCATATGACAGATAAGATGGTATGTCGAATGAATGATCGTACATACCTCTAGAGATAGAGAGTGCGTTGAACCCGTTAGATATGTGTTTTCATGTCAGACTATTTCAATATATAAAGTGAGTTATGCAAGGTGTGCAACACAATTAGATTGATATGTACAAGTCTGCGTATATGACTTTGTTCAACTTGCACACCTTAATTACCAATCAGAGCACGCATACAATGATACACTTCTACATCAAATGTTAACGACGACTAATCACCGACCCAAATATTCAGAAAAATTAAGAACTATCTTAATTTAACAGCTCTCAAAAACTCGCTGGCTACTCAAACTGCGTGTTATGCGTTGTGCCGTCACAGGAAGCGCTATCCAAGCTCAGACCTGTGTTATATGACTAGCCAATTTTGCAATAAACTGTACTTCAAGGCAATATATGGTTATTGACCTAAAAAAAGTTCGGTCACCAGCCTTTTTGTCGAGAAATTTATGGTTGTATTTTAGTGGAAAGTCGCTATTTTGACACTATAATAACACTTTTACCAAAGGTTCCTATGGCAGAAATATTATGCAATATCTCAAAATCCAGCCTGGTGACATAGGCTGAAAAAATCATACATTGTTAATGATGGAGCACTGTTTGTTCTAAATTATTTACAAAATCTGGGTTTTAAAAAGTGTCAAAAAATGCAATTTTTCTTTAACAATGTGTTCTATAAAATTGTTTTAAAAATAGCAATTTTCAAGAAATATTATGACACGTTTCTCAAAATGCATAGCTGTAACACACAAAATAATGCTATTTCATTGTACCATGAAACATTAGTTTCATGATTGTACATAATAAACTAATGAACATTGTCATGCGATTTATGACCAATTTTGTCAAAAATTATGACTGGGCTTCTACCTTTATCACATAATTTAGTGAAATATTGTTTGGTGAATAAATAATTCAATCTTTGAAACAACAGAAACTAACACACATAATAACGATAATCAAATTTCTGTGTGCAGTTCGAAAGTACTCGTAATTACCGGTTTAGAAATATTGTAAGAACAAACTGGCCCCAAAATTGCGCAAATTTGCAATAAGTTTACGCTGCTAATGTCTGGTTCGGAAGGCGTTGTACGCGTGATTTTGTCCTGTTCAAGGACGTCCTATTTTCGAACTAATTAAAACCAGTAGCGTTTTCGATTATCTATCTCGAGGCGTAAGATCGGTGTAGAAACGACACCGACCCGCAGCTTCAACGCATGTTATGTCTAAGGAGTAATTTTTATGATTAATAAAATAATGTGAAAAAAATAATTAATTTGAAAATAGATTTTTCAGAAACATTTGTTTCAACAAATTATGTATGCTTTATCAAACCGGAATATAACAATGAATGTAATATATAAAGTATTATTCGTCTATCGTTTGAGCATATAATTGTGACCCAGTTAAGGTGGAAATACAAAGTCAGCAAATTCGTTTGTTTGGATAGCACTTACTGTATTGTATATCTAACGATTGGAGGTCAGAGACCGACTATAAGACTACAAGTAAACACGTAACAACTGGTGATAATTGCTGGAGTATTGTCTGGGTATTGAGTATTTTTATGAGACACATGTGTAAATAATGTTTATTTTGTCAGTCAAAATTGTCACCAATTCGAGTCTATTAAATGAACATTACATCACGCATACAATGAATACCACGACTAATTGAATATTATATTGGTTGAGACAACTCCCATTGACATTGGTCACCGCAAAAGAGGCATCTACTGAACGAGTTGTCGATTTCTTATTATTATATGTGACATTTTGTGTTTTGAGATAATGTTTGGAATTTTGAGATACTGTTTGAGATTTTAGTTTCAGGTTGCATTTACACTACACCGTGGCAACATTTTTGTTTTCTTGTTGTTTTGTTTTAGTTTTTCTGACAGGCGACAGTTCCGGACAATGCATGTCACTGTTCTCCTGACTTGTTTTCGTATGTGCGAATTGCAAGTGCTAGTGCTGACACATTTTTTGTCACAGAAGCACTAGCCATATTCATGTTTGGGACTAGAGGACAGGGCTGTGCGACCTTCTCTTTATCACATGGCAATTTAATATGCTATCCTGATGACAACCAGGCTCGGTCTAACACAGGCACTTGCGGACCTTAACCAATGTCCCCCAAAGTCGCATTCGTTAGTGAATGAATCTCGGCCAGTGGAATTGTTGGTAACATTTGTATATGGCCAGAAGACGTATCATTATAATATTGCCCAATAGAAATGTTCTATTATTACCGAATATCATCCTTAAATTCAGTTCCCGATGGCACCATCTTGATATTCAGTGGCATCATCGACCATATTGAGCAATTAATATCACTAGTAATCTTGTACGAAATTTATAAGTAGCTATCTGCATCAGGAATATTTAGTCACCATCATATTTGTGCTCGGATATAATTATAAAATTAAAACACTACTGAAAATTACACATTAATGGTTTAATTCGACTGGAAAAGGTATAACATAGCGCACTTTTCAATTGGAGAGGTGGATCCAACATAACTCGTATATATCACATCTAGATCACGGCGTGATGGACTAAATGAGATGCTTGATGTGACTTTGTAATTACAATATAGTTCAAGGAAATGTGAAATAAAAATAAATTTGAAATAAGATTAAGTCTTCTATTGGGAACAACCCATCACACGGTAGGCCTGGTTTCACCGAATAATGTGTTCATGTCCATACGAACAAACGGTCTGAAAGACATGGGACATCGTGAATAAATTAAAGTATTAAAAGCCGTAGTAAAATTTGTGAATTTCATATAATATGTAAACGACACTATTATAATACACTTTCATAAACAGGGAAACTGTTATTCCCAGATCAGTGAATTAGTCTATATTGACAAATTATATTTGGGTTCACATGCCTACCTGTCGTATGCCATCTTGGCCCCAGACGCGCCGTCTTTCCTTGCATTTGCCACATACATTAGTCCGTTCTTAAGGTCGTAAATAGCAGTATGTGTATCGCCAGTCTGAACGATAGACACGAGATCCCGTATTGTGTTCGCAGGGGTGATATTACCATAGTATTTCTTCAGCTGCCTAGCAAGAACAGCAGTCCAATCGGCATGTACCCAACCTCGACCTAATATAAAATGGATGGTTTTAAAATGTAATTATCTAGCAATAGCAGCACCTAGTATTAATAACTATTTCAGTGCATCAACATATCATTCACTCAAATAAATATAAGATATAATATAAAATTAAGATACTGACTCATTTGTACAATGTGACGACCACAATACCACATCGTCCGCCTGTACGGTGCTGTTCCGTTCAGACATTCCTCTCTCCCAACCGTGTATGTCACGTAGTTGCGCGATAGAAAGTTTACCGACCAATAGGAAGCTTTGTTACGAATGATAGTGGAATGCTTTGCCGGAACATTCACATACAATATATAACATACTTACTATAGTAAACAAGGCCTTCCATGCGTGGATGCCAATCACCAACAGGCATCATATTCTGGTCATCATAGAAGTTGGAAACGCCGGCAGAGTAAGCCACGCCACGGAATGTATTCAACTAAAAAAAACCCAGAAAAATTACTAATAAATTATTGTTATACAACCATCTGTTTTTCTATATGACACAACAAATATATACTTGTGAAAATGACCGCTCGCATCAATGTTGGACTTTTCATGGCGATGTAGCAATCACATAGGCTTAAAACGATATAATAATATTCAGTAAACAACAACATATTTCTTCATGTTTACCTTGGCATCGCCAACTCCGAGCAGTAAATCACACGTTCTATGTGCATTAGCTATACGATTGATGGAATCATCTAGGGTATTATCATACTGAAGTACATCGCGTAGAAGATACTGTCGTGAAGAATAGTTATTATTAATTCGTTAAAATTTCAGACATTTGTCATACAGAATACATTCCATGAGTTATGACATAATATTTTAAATAAACCAATGGCAAGCACGCGGTGAATCACGTCGTCAAGCGATGATATCCGATCAATCAGTACAAATCGGTTACCAGGCGACTAATTAACTTTGTATCACATAGATTGATGACTAATATATCAACATGGTGCATTACTGGGCACATTGATTTCTGTTAAGTGTATATTTGAAGGAGTCGGCAGAGCATGGTGGTTAGCTTACCGTAAATGGGACACCGATCCTTGATTCAGATCCCCATGATGCATCTGCGTCTACAACGCCAATTTCACTTATAGCCATTTGACGATCAGACATGCCTAATTCAAGACCAACGGACTTAAAAAATGTAATATTGTTTTCAGCACCATTTGTTATTTGTGATTTATTAACATAGCACAATACAAAATACTGAAGGAAGATAGTGCATGATTCCCAAATATATATTTTTAGAAAGCGAAAACTTTCCATCCATCACCGATTACCCCATCAATATATAATTGGCTTGCCTGTGATTGATCCTATCCAGCCACTCCAACCGACGTTAGCAAAAGTGTGCCCATTAGTGGATTCCGGGTGGTATACGGTTACCTGAGGATGGTTCTTGAACGGGCCTACAAAACATGAGAAGTGACACCGAGTTATGAACATGTAATTTCTTTGGATTGAATAATAGCAAAGTTCTTACTAGTAGCTTTTATACATGTACTGCACGACGTACCATCAATATCCCAATCAAGTGCACGCAACTGTAGAACTGATTCTGAATCGGGAACAGCCTTACCCCAAGCACCAAACATTGAACAAGTTCCTTTACTAAAAATGAAAGTAATTAATATTATACAAAAGTAATCAAACATACATTAAAAGCTGAATACATATTATTGTTAAGCATTATTGTTAGGCACTCACGTAATTTCACCAAGCATGTGTATTCGCTCGATTTTCTGAAACATAATGTAAATATGTATATTATAAACGAGTAGACAACTGTAATGGTGTGACATAATATAGACGGAATATTGTTCGTACTACTGAACGGGTTTATTTTCACAATAAACATAACGACTGTAAAAGTGCATCTTTATTCAGAGCTTATGGGCTTATTCAGCGCATATAATTTGATGTGTGATGTATCACGACTAAACATCATTATCAATACATACTTTATAATCTATTCCACTGGCATCAGATATTCCTTTAAGTTCATCTAAAAAATACTGACCTAATGGAGAACAACTTACATCATTATCCACATTATTTACGATACCGGTCATTTAGACTGATTTAAACAAAGAAAAAAACATGTTCTGAACATTCGTCTTTCTTTCCTGGTAAATTACCCTAATTGAAACATTTACATAAACATGGCCATATATGGAAACGTCGCACTTACTTGTGTACTTTTTGGTAGCTAACACTTCAAGCTCCAAAGCAAAATCCATCCTAAAATACGGTTAGCATATTATTGATAACATATTATACGCAAACTGTATACAACATATTAATATCCGACATATTTACACTTCGTGTATCAGTGTTGAAAAGATTCTACATTTAGTAAAAATACAAACTATTGTCTTACCCAAGGCTGATGACGTCTTTAACAAACCATGGCGATAGAAATGACACTGTTTTATTCACATAACCATACTAAAAATAAAATGTAAGATGACAAATGTATATTTACAATACATGTAATATTGGGTGTAGTTTCCCGCGCACAATATGTGTAATCATTTTAAACTGAGCACGTTTATACTATTTTCATGCCGAGAATGAAATCAAAACTAACACTAACCGCTTCATCTTCTATATATTTCCAAACGTCGTCAATAAAAGATTTTGCTTCGTCTTTCAAAATAGTTCCATGAGCGAATCCCATTTCGTACGGAGTGCCTGTAAGTATTAGTGTGTTCTCAATTTAAATAAGCGTAGTATAATTATCATATAATGATGTTTTCAGTCACTTGTTATATGGGACACATTACATTGGAATATATTATTGTGAATATTTAAATAAAAATAATTCATGTAAAGTGTGAACATATGCCAGAATCATCGGGAATTAACACCTACCCCAAACGTGAAGAACTTTAATTTGGTCATCGCCTTTTCCCACTGTATACAGTTTAGCATTCTTAATCTGCTTGACGAAGACTGGTGGGTCGGTTTGTATAGGGTTCAGATTGGGTTTGGCATGTGGGTCGGGCTGTTAACAAAAATAAAGTAAACTAAAAACAGATCGGTATCTCGTCTTTCAGAAACCCTTACAAAGTATATCATATTGGAGTAGAGTAGTGGAAAATAGTTTCAAATAAGGTATATTCGTAAAGAACCATGCCTGATATCCGTAACAACATACGTTTACAGACAACAACAAGAGAAGTACATGTTTACTCACCCCTGACATAGACAACCGGACTATTGCCGAGAAGACAAGCAGACTGCATAGACGGTTAAACATGGCTGTCTCGGTGGCGTAATTAGGACGCAATATCTTGTGTCGGCATGGCTGGTCAAAGGCTGGTCGTAGACAACTTGAGGGGCAAAGAACACAACTCTGTCTATTTTATAGATAACGGTAGCAAAGAGCAATTCGATAACAGTGAAGGTTGCAATGTAAAACTAGGTTAGGGCCGTGGAGATCAGTCATAAGTGGTATCAGCAACCCTATTGACGGTGCACAAGCATACTACAGACCAGAAAAGATTAGTTTGAACGTTAGGGGCGCCAACTATATCGATGCTTTACGCTTCCATCTTTCACTGGATCATTGCTTTTGCAAGTATAACAAAATATAACAAGCCAAATTAGATTTGTGCATCCTAATTTTGATTGAATGTTTCTGCAATACCTGACATGCACTGTTTTCCCTGTCGATGTCTAGTCACCCCCACTATTTCAAATGATCAACCCTTTACTTTACACTGTACGTTGCTGGTAGTGAAACCAAACATTTGAAATCATCGAAGTATCGCTTAGTTTGTGCTATTTTTTCATTATGAATTTTTTATGTGTTTTTTCCTTAATGTGAAATACTCTTTCCTAAAGTATTTTTCGTGTAGATTTTTATTATTGATCCTTTTTTCCCAGTTTCATTCCTCACTACTTAATTAACTCAATCATTTCATCAGTAACGAAAGTCGAAAGTAAAAACAAGAAAATCAAAGAAAGCTTAGTGTGCAATGTAGCTGTACATAATAGTCTTTTAGAATATTTGTCATGTGACGAGATTTAATTAGCACGTGTAATTGGTATTGCTATTTTTAGTTTGCTTGGTAATCTTGACAACTGGTGTATCGTGGTCGTGTGGACGTACATCTTACCCGGATCGGTTACTGGTGGCACAGGCAGTGTTAGAAGCTCTATGGACTTGATGTGGATGGTAGCTGAAGTATCGTCGATGCCAAGATTTGAGGAGCGTAACAGAAAACTGCAGGATTACAATGAGACACAGACACTGTAAACTTACCACAGTTTTGCTTTGCCTTAATTTCCTGACCTGAAGGCCTTGTATGGCCAACTCTCAGTTTTACGTAATTACATTTTAAGCAAATTTTTGTATTTCACATAAATGGATAACAGATTGATCAGAAGTCGTTGATCTCTATATGTACATTAACGTGATTTATTAGTGATAATTTCTTGTGCACAAGTTTCATGTTAATTTCTATGTATGAATATATATTGATGAGGTCTAGAGAATGAAAATAGCTTAGTTAATTGTATGAACATTGTCATCACAGTTCATTGTGTGCTCCCATGTGCGTGGCCAATCCTCGGATCCGTTACAAATAACAGCCAATGTTTTATTGTCATGTGTGAAATGTATTACAAGTTAATAAATCATCATACCCATAAGGCTAAGGGTGGGAGTGCTCTATAGGCACTTGCCAACTTGACGTACCTGCAGAAAGCAGCACAGGAGCAACTGTAGCACAAATGCTTTGTTCCTGGTAACAATTACCGAATCATTATTAACTACTTTAGAGAGTGGAGCTAAATATACACTTCTGACAAAAACGATGGCTATAATATAGACGTCTGTAATAAGTTATAACACAAAAATACCAGTATTTGTGCGCCTTGTAACACTGCAAGATACAATTAAAGAAAAAGGCAATGAATAAATATGTTTTTCACACATTCACAGTAAGTATTTATACAATTTTCTGACCTAAAATTTCATATGCATTAGCCAATACAGAGAGTGTTTCCCCCAAATCTGCAGGGGTGTATATGCATTGTATACAATCGGGGAGGCTTCGAGTGCGGATTAAGGTTTGGATTAGGGGTGGGCATACAAAAGGAATTTTTCCCACGTTAAATATTTTTCATGAAGTGTCTAATACAATATGGACATTTTATAATGACGGAATATAAAAATTCAATGCGAGGTGATTTGATGTTGAATATCAAACTTTGTATTTGTTAAAAACAGTTTTTGACGATTCGATGCACATATTTATAGACTTAAACTCAGAACTGCTCGGGCATGTCAATTTTTATTAATCAAATCACCGGTAGCTAAAGAAATTGTATACATTTTTATGAATAAATATAAAAATAAACCTGACGCTTAAGTGTAAACGTCCTGTCCCAGACTCAAAATTCACTTGACCTTTTTTTATTTCATGGTGTCAAATGGCTAGTTTTCGAAAATCTCCAAATGTGAGCTTATTATACCCCAGAGGTTCCTGTTATATAATTTATGTAAATATTTCTTTAAAACCACTCCCAACAATTACATATTAGGCGATGATGAACTACTAACCTGTTGTGTAGCAAAATAGGGAAGCTGTGTTTGCCTGTTTTGCTCAAATCGCGGTTTTAAAACAAGTAATTTGCTGGGAAAAGAGATACAAATGCATTGATCTTAGAATACTATATAAATTGTTATAAACGTGTTTTAAATGCATATTTAAACTTTGCTAGTAGTCCGTTCCTTCGTGGGGAACTGGTATATCCCATCTTATAACTTTGCTAGTAATAAATCCTACCCCCACTAGATCCAAGACATCCACATGTGTATTTATTGCCATAGTAGTTTATAAGTAAATAAACGCTGCTCGGACTGATAAATATGATATATAAAAGATAATATTTG